ATTTAAACTTAAAACTTCATCTTTCTTTTTACCCCAGTGGTCTCCCCCCCTTATTTCAAAGCTTACAACTGAATGCTCTTTGGATGTGGTGAATGATGGGAAAAGTCTTTCACAGACCCCTATCTGTTTTCCCAAATCAATTTTTTTTTAACCATTTCTCACAAGCTACTGTAACACATCACCCTCCTCCCTTTCAATTTATGGAGCCCCAATATCTGGGCAAAAATTGAATTAAATGGCACTTAGTTCACCCCCAAGAAGTTTGTCACTTCACGTGTCATCTAGCAGTGGAAGAACTCACAGAAGCCAGCAAGACAGCAAGGTTTCCATTAAAATCAAAGAAACGGATAATTTAAAAACTTAGTGCAAAAAACAATGGCAAAAGGAATTTGTTTGTTTGTTTGTTTTTAAGCAATTACAGGACACCCCGGGTGGCTCGGTCGGTTAACCATCCGCCTTCAGCTCAGGTCGTGATCCGGGGGTCCTGGGATTGAGTCCCAGGGGCCGGCTCCCTGCTCAGCAGGGAGTCTGCTTCTCCCTCGCCCTCTGCCCCTCCCCCACCACTCATGCTTGTTCTCTCTCTCGAACAAATAAATAAAATCTTTAAAATAAAATAAAATCAAAAGTAATTACAAACAAGGCAAGATAAGCCAAAGGGGCTAATGCCAGGACTTAGGCAGGATGCTGGCTTGGGGAAAGTACCCTTCTAGGATGAGCTGGGGCAAGGACGGTGAGGTCAGATGAGCCTTTATTTTCTCCATGCTGCTCTGGCAATTAATTAGTCACCGTTCCCCAGGTTTTCTTTACCATCTCTCTGTGTATTTAGTCACTGGTCACCTTTAATTTCCCAAATGAACATCTCGGTTGTGTCCAGGTGTTGTAGGCCCCGTGAAAGAACTTGATTCTCAGAACGTGTCGAGAATTTGATACATGTCATTATGTGCCTAGCTAATAAACTAGGCCCTCTGATTTTTTAAAATAAAACAGGGAGGAGGATGAGGCGATGAAGAGAAACTGTCCATATCTGACCCAGAACTGGTAAGTTCCGTGGCTCACCCAAATTTTGATCACTTCTCAGAGGCTTGTCCCGCATCCCATAGATAACTAACGCTAAACTCATTCCAGGGGATTCTCTACTGTCCAATGCTCCTGAAGAAAACAAAACCCAGTGGCCCCAAACCCACTCGTTTCTAGAATCCCAGCCACCACATTCCACACACATTTCTTGGGAGTCTACCTGAAACTGCTCTTTCCATGCCTCTCCCTCCTGAGTCCTGAGCTGCCTCGGCCTTCATTCCGTCCGTTCACTAGTTTTAAAAAAGATTTGGTACTCACTATCAAAAAGCCATTTCATTTGCTTACCCTCACTGTGAAAACAAGTTACGAAAACAATGGGGATGGGGGGAGACCTTCCAACTCTTTTCATTCTCAAGAAAAGCAGAAGTGAATCCCAGGAAGGAGGTGTGGACTTATAAGGATGTGGCATTTCCTCAGGATTTGGTGGGAATTCATTGATTTGATTTACAACAATCGAGAGTCGCCTCTGTGCTTGGAGCTTTTCGCTCCAGCTGGTGTGGGGATTATTTTCCCTCGGAATGCTCAGCCCCAAATACAAGGACACCTTCAGGAAGAGGAAAAGGAAGAAATACAGTCTCGGAACCTCGGATGTGAACCAGGAAATTCTTGTCCACTGCACTGATTTAAAAGTGCCTAACAAATTCCACTAGCTTTTTGGAGTTTACTCGTGTGCTCCGAGGTTCCTCCCTGGATGCGCGCTCAGCGCCTTTTGCACGAAGATATCCATATTAGTTCTCCATTAGCCCAAAATATCCTTTACTGAAGAGAATTAGGGATGCCGGTTGTAACTGGGAAAGGTACCCAGGTTTTTGTGCTCCTCGAACCCTCACTAAACCTTCAGGACCCAGTAAAGTTCAGAGAGTGATGCGATTATTAAAGCCCACCCCATTCTCATCGCCCAAAAGCCGGTTCCTACTGATCCCCCTCACACACTTGGTTCCCACAGGGCGATCTACTTGCTTTGTGTACATACACTCCTTAGTCTTCTATCCACGTGCCTTGGTTTGCCCTGTAGGTAGTGCCTGTCCTGTCTCTCCACATGCCCAAGTGCCACCTGCTTCTCGGAAATTCCAAGTCCTGCGTCCACACTTCTCCTACAGCCAGTAGTTTTCTATTTTGCATTGCCGTTATTCTTTGGTCTTGGGCAGGATGGTAAGCTCCCTGTGGGCCGGTCCCTTGGCGTCTAGTACAATGTGACGCACACACAGCGGATGCCCCCCGCACGTGAGCAGAGCGAACAAGCTAGGGTCACACTTGAACAAACCGAAGTGACTGGCCAGAGGCTAAAATTTACGCCCTCTCCCAGAAATATCTGTGCAGTGAACACAACTCCTGGATCAACGGGGATTAGAACAGGAAGAGCAGAAGTCATGTTAAACTCAATTATCCAAAACCGGGAAATAAGGCAAAAAGAAGACTGCGAGTCCTTTTGGGGTCGTACTAGATCGTAGTAGGTCGTACTAGATCATACTAGATCGTACTAGGTCGTACTAGATCGTACTAGGTCGTACTAGGTCGTACTAGATCGTACTAGGTCGTACTAGGTCATACTAGGTCGTGCTAGATCGTACTAGGTTGTACTAGATCGTACTAGATCGTACTGGCGCATAATCCACCAAGGCAGCCTAAGGAAGGGTCATGTAACTCTCCAGGCTGGCAGGTCACAGAGTTGGGCTTTACTCCTGATCCAGCCTTAGTCGCTGCAAAGTTAAACAATAACTTGGAGAAAACGGATGTTATACAACTCATTTTGCCCAGACATTATGACTTTCCTGCCCTTTGGGTCATGAAGCAGTTTTGCATCTAACTTAGCTCCCGTATCCTAGCGCCCTTCTCCCCGCACGGTGCCCCCTGCGCCCCCCCGTGCGGGGGTATCGGCTTCTGCTCTGTTCCTTTGGGCTAGCTGACCGCCTGGCTGCCCCTTTCAACAATGCCTTAAATAAGACTTCAACAGACTCACTGGATTATTGTATGAGAACCGGATGCTCCATTTTTTGAAAAATTACGCTCTGAGACTCTTAATAATTATAAGGGACACATAATAAAAACAGTAAAAAGATAGGTGCCTCCAGTATCATTCTCCTACTCATAATTAATTTTAATATTTATCTAGAATATATTTCCCAAATACCAGATTTATTCACTCACAAGGATTCGTTTCCATTCCTAAGGCTTTATACAGGAACACAGTGAAAGGAATGCATACTCTTTACTCCTTGTAAATAACCTCCAATGGCACATACAATCAATGCAGTAATAGCTTTATTTAAAAAGCCTCTATCTCATCTAAATATCTAGTCTTTTGGAATAAAAATAAAATCTGCTGGTAAATTTCTATCTATCATTTGAAATTACTGAACGTTACAGAAAGTCATTTTCCATGTTAAAATGAATAGCATTTTGTAAATTCAAGCCATACTAATATTGCATTAGGATCAAGACAGTTGTTCTGAAATCACTACAGGCCATAATAGAAACCAGACACTAAATGCTTTAAGAAGTAACTAGCTGAAATTGAATGAAATAATCACCCAATCCATAAAGCCTTTGTAAGATTTCCCCATAAAACACAGGTAATTTTTTTTTTTACCAAAGAGAAATTATTCTTTCTTATTGTCATAAACATCAAATGCCATCACATCATAAAAATAAAATATAGCACATGGATCATTCCATTTTGTTCATCCATTTATTCCTGTAACACATATTCACTGTGCCCTACGATAATGAAAACATTATGCTTGTTCACTGTTATTTACCATGTTGTTTAATCAACAAGGCTCAAAATGGTCCCTGGAGAGACCCTTGCCAAAAGCAAATCCATTCTTTTTTTTTTTTTTTTTTTTAATATTTTATTTATTTATTTATTGGAGAGAGGGGGAGAGAGAGCGCACGAGTTGGGGAGGAGCAGAGGGAGAGGGAGAAGCTGAGCACAGAGCCTGATGCAAGGCTTGATCTCACAACCCTGAGATCATGACCTGAGCTAAAATCAAGAGTTGGATGCTCAACCGAATGTGCCACCCAAGCACCCCAAAAGTGAATCCATCCTAAGCAGAGGGTTAGAAAGATCTGGGTTCTGCAATTCGTCCTTGGTGCCACTGCCACCTGCATACTCTTGACTTAATCCCGACGGTGATCCGTTTCATGGAAACGTATCTGACAACTAAGATGCATTTAATGTGCATCTGCAGTGGATTGAACTGTGGCTGCCCCAGAAAGATTATGTCCAAGTCCTAACCTCCGGTATCTGCAAATATGACCTGGTTTGGAAACAGGGTCTTTGCATATGTAATCGAGTTAAAGTGAATTCACCCCGGGGTTAGGATGGCCCCAATCCAATGACTGGGGTCCCTGCGAGAAGGGGATTTGGACGCAGACACAGAGACACACAGGGAGAAGGCCATGGGACCACAAAGGCAGAGGTGAGAGGGCTGCAGCTACAAGCCAAGAACTCCAAGAATTGCCTGGAACTACTAGAAGGTGGGAAGAGGCATGAACTTGTCCTCCCTAGAGCCTTCCGAGGGAGCAGGGCTTGATTTTGAACTATGAGAGAATACGTTGCTATCATCTTACGCCATCCAAGTCCGGGGTGATTTGTTACAGCAGCCCCAGGGAAACTGATACAACACCTTTTATACGGGGCTTTTTTGGATGCTCTTTGTAAAGGTGGTTAAAATCTACAATACTAGGAATGCTAAGTAAAGGAGAGCTGTCATGGTGGCAGCGGGGGTGGGACAAAGTAGTGCATGGGGAGAGAGTCTCCGAGATTCTAGTTCCTTCCAATTCTGTCCATCTTTTATATTTGGCTTCAGCAAAAGATCTAATTTTGAAAAGATTCCCATCTTAAAAATGTAAAGGCGAGGAGGGTATAAAACCATGGGCTAGCAGTTTTCATGGGCAACACAGCACACAGTGACACTCACCTCCACATGCTGACAGGTTTGGATGAGTTTAGCCAAAAGGGTCTCCAGTTCCGTGTTCCTCTTGATAAGGCTGGTGAGGTTACTCTCCAAGTTTTGCTGTTCAGAAAGAGAAGAAAAATATTATTCTGCATCCCGAAAATGTTATGCTGTATCCTGAAGTATTACATACTTTTAATAACAAAATTACTCATATTCAGGAAAATCTGATCTCTTTTGCAGAAACCTCAATGAAATTTATGGAGCTTTAAGCATTTATAGATTTTTTTTTTAAGATTTTATTTATTTATTTGAGAGAGAAAGCAAGCACAAGCAGGCAGAGGGGCAGACGAAGACGGAGCAGACTCCCTGCTGAGCAGGGAGCCCGATGTGGGACTCGATCCCAGGACCTTGGAATCATGACCTAAGCCAAAGGCAGATGCTTAACTGACTGAGCCACCCAGGCGCCCCACATTTATAGATTTAAACTTGACTTTGAGGAGCTGCATTTAAAAGAACCTTTAAAAAAGGTTCAAATTTCATTCTTTTTGTTCCTGCTTCTTGTACGAACCCGGGCACATTTACCTGAATAATTAGCTATAGGTGGTGAACTAGGTGAACTAGAAAGGAGGTAATTGGATTTCTAGTTCTTTACCTGAATCAGACATGGCAATAATATAAGGAGTATATTCCCACAGCAAATCAACTATTACTGGATTTTTAGGATTTACCATTTTACGGGCAGGCTGAGGTCAGTCCCTCAGAGGAAGGTTTGCATTATCTGGCTATCACTGACATTATGACTATTGATAGGCATTTGTAAGATATAAGAAGTCCCATCATGCACATTTACTCACTTATAGTACATTTTATTGTACATGCTTCTATTCTTTGTCTACCAACCTATCAATGCCAGATTAAATTTCCTTGAATGCCACAGTTTTCATATAACTATCCGGCTTACAAATCTAGAATTATTCCCTATTCCTTTAGAACATCAAATTTAAAGTCCCCTGCAATGACTATTAAATCTAATTTTCAACCACAATAACCCGCTTCTCGTTCTGTATGCTCTTCATTGATGCCATTCATATATTTAGCTATTCACACAAGTATTTACTGAGCTTCTACTAAATGCCAGACTCTGAGAGATACTGGGGAAACACAAATAAAAACTCCCTACTCCTTGTCCACGAGGAGATGCAACTGGGGGAAAGATGCTGTGAACGAGTCAAGGGGCAGAGGTCGGGGCTACCCGGAGAAGGTTTCCCGGACGACACATTCTTTCCGCTGAGGCTGGAAGGATGGGTTTGGAGTTTTTGGTGAACAGCAATGGGAACTTCTTGGGAAGATGGGATGGAGGTAGAGGTGGCCACAGGCAGGGAATAGAACAATGTCATGGACCAAGATCAGGGCAAAGGATTAGGGCAGACATTTTTAACAGTTTTAACGGCTAGACAATTCCACAAATACAGTGAAAAGACGGAATGGAAGGAAATTTCATGGAAAAGAAAATAGATCGAGGATTTGTAATGCCATCTGCAAAAAGGGATTTGAAAAGAGTACGGGTGGGGGGGGCGCCTGGGTGGCTCAGTTGGTTGGGCGACTGCTTTCGGCTCGGGTCATGATCCCGGAGTCCTGGGATCGAGTCCCACATCAGGCTCCCCGCTCAGCGCGGAGTCTGCTTCTCCTCTGACCCTCTCTCCTCTCATGCTCTCTCTCACTGTCTGTCTCTCAAATAAATAAAATTTTTAAAAAAATTAAAAAAAAAAAGAGTATGGGGCCATTTTGAAAATCAGTAATTTCATCAAGGTGATAATAGTTCACTATGCCACGAAATTAATTTCTGAAAGCATTTACTCTTTCTGCTTTCTGAAATGTTAGATTTAGAAAAGTAGATTCAGGAAAAGAGTCACTTTTATTTAAAGCTTAAAATGCATACATCAGAAACAGAAATCTCTCTGGTCATTCTTAAACAAGTTCTGCTTATTAATCTGGTCTTTATCCTATTGCCCAATTTTTTCATTTCAATGACCACATTTTTCATTTCCAGTGGATTCTTCATCACATCTCCCTCTCCTTGACTTACTTTCTCTTCTTCTTCCCAGGATGCAATTCCCTCCTTCATAAGTTCAAGAGGACTAAACACACTTAATTATTCTTAAGCTTACTTGAAAAAAGGCAATTCCCTATTTTCCTGTGTTTGTGCAATGTTTCCCAAGAGTCTGATTTTATCTCGTATCTTACAATTTCTGTCCGATAGCTCATCTGATGGGAACTTTGCTCCCTGGGCTGGGGTCCGGGGATTGGCACAGCACAGCCAAGTGAACTACCCACTCGGATGCTGGGGTGTGAGGTCATTTTCCCAGAGAGAGCGCTCCTGCAGGGCACCCGTGTGTTAGAGAGGCACAGATCCGGGTTTGACTCCGTGCCTGCCTGAGGCATTCTGTCCCCGAGAATTCTGTCTGGCTCCAATTCCAGAGAAGGTGGGAGGGACCCTTTGAGTCCGCTGTGTCCACGGGGAGTCCTGGCCTCCAGGTGTATGGGCCCGTCTGAGGCTCCTGCCCCGTGCACGACACTCTCCACCATGTTCCCGCTCGGGGTCCCCACCACCCCGGCTCATCTCCACTTCTGAGTAGCCCAGCTTCAGCCTTCCCCCGCCATTCTGCATCTCCTTTCACTTCCGGTCCTTGGAGACTTTCCATTTATGTTTAAACTTGGTTATTATTCTTCAAAATCCATTTGAAAATATTTTATCTGTAGTTCTCATGTGTTCAGAATTAAGAGGGAGGTTTGGCACATATTTCATTGGGACTGGAAGACCAGCAAGCACACTTCGATTTTGGCTTTGAAACACTCAAAGCGTCTCAAGTACAAATATTTTAAGGGAGAAAAATGACTATTTCCCACTTAAAGGATGGGATACCTTAACAGAAAGTCAGGGAAGGAGCCAGACAGAGTGATTAAGGTTCAAGTTAACGCTCTCATGGTTGCATCAAAGAAAACCTTGCTTTCAAAGCTCTTAACAATAAGAACAACAACAACGCAGACAACAGCCAAAAGTTTTTCTGTTTGGATGAAATGAATCACAACCACTAATCATTTTATGGTCAGAGACTAGAGAATAATTTTGAGGCATTCCATTATTCAGTGTCCTTGATCTAGATGTGACTACTTTACGGTATATTTGTCAACTTCTTCTGGTATGTTAATCTTAGGGAATCTTTTTCCTTGTCTTTTTGGCTGACCCTTCTGAGCAGGACATTTCTAGGGAAATACATCAACTAACTGTTTACACTTCAGTGATCATAGGTATGATTTTTCTAAAGCTAGTCAGCAAAAGAGAGCCAAACAAATAGAATCTAACACATTTAGATTTTACAAACATCTGCTTGCTTCCCCTCCTTTTATTAAGTATACATCATGTATAAAAATCTGTTTTTAATCAACTAATATGTAGACTAAAGCCTGTGGTTTAAACACATTGACCTATCTAGATCCTTTGGGGTTATTCAAATTTAAATAGTACAAGTGTTACTGAAGTCCACAAAGAATTACCGAGTCACTTACAAGCATAATAAAGGGAAATGAAGCTGGGAGAGAGACTTGTTTCCAAGAAGTACCAAAGGGACTGACAACACTTCTGAAGAGAGCCCGGGTAATGGGAGGTAACAAAATCCAGTCTTCAGTGAACCATGCATCCATAAGCTTCCACTACAGGGACTTCTGTGGAGTTTTCGAGAATTTAACTGGATCGCTCACATCCTGTGTGGCGGTCAGCAGGTCCTATAACCTCCTCATTTTGACTGCACTTTGTGCAAAAGAGAGATAATACTTTTTGGCATAAGAGTCTTGGGACTAAGGGTATAGAAGTATCTACTTCCCTATGGATATCTAAGGAATTCTACAGAGTACCAAAAAAATAGTTTTCGTTTCCTCTTCTCACCTCGAAAACGTTGGTACATTTACATCTCCTTACGGAGCCGAGCTTTGTAGAGATCCAAGGAGTCGGGCCTGAGTGACCACACATGCAGAGGGTGAGGGAGACTGGGGCTACCATTCCAGCTCAATTCTCCTGGCCAGACGCCGCCTGGGCCCAGTTTCCCCATCCATGGTGTGTGGGTACGGATAGATCTCCCTATCTGTGCGATTGTTAAGCTCAGGGGAGGAAATGGACACATACACCAGGAACCATACAAATGTTTGTTGAAATCATGAATTATGGGAGAAAACATTCAGTTTGGTGTCAGTACCAGGCACTAGAGGGGCCCAACCCCGGGCCTCAGGCAGTCCCCACTCTCGAGCTTGCTGGTGGCTTTTGGCTGCCAAGCACCTGTTCTTTTAGGCACCAGGGTTTTATTGGGCCCCCGGCAGGGCAGGCTGGGGAGCTGGGGGGAACGAGGGAAGGCTGATGCCTCTAGGAGCAGCCTTCAGTCAGCGACTACTGGCAGTAGGTGGATGAAAGCCCAGCTTCCCCAACCTCCTGGGTGGGACCCCCCCCCCCCCCGAGTCATGACCCAAAAAGTCTTTCAGAGAGCCCCCCTGAGAGAACCCAGGTGCCTGTGGTGACAAGCGGCTCGCGTCCACACCCTCTTTCCGCTTCCTCCCCTCCTTGGTCCCACCTCCCCTCTCCCTTCTGGCTGCTTCCCGGGTCACCTTCCAACATGGATTCTGAGCCAGCGTCCTTTTCTGGAAGAACTCGACTAAAACCTTATTAGGAAAATAATCCTAAGCCATTATTGGTGCGTATTCCTTCTTATGAGGAGTAGCCAAATTAACAAAAGATTTTATTGTTTTTGAAAGACATCCACAAATACAAGAGATTGTTTTCTCTTCCTCCACCTCCCGTCTTTCTTTTCTTTTCTCGTTAAGATTTTATTTATTTATTTGAGAGAGAGAGAGAGAGAGAGAGCTGGAGGAGGAGCAACAGAGGAGGAGGGAGAGGGACAAGCAGATTCTGCACTGAGCGTAGAGCCCGATGCGGGGCTCGATCTCCGGACCCTGAGATCATGAGCGGAGCCGAAACTAAGAGTAGGATGCTTAACCGACTGAGCCACCCGGGTGCCCCCCTCCACTCTTTCTAGCTTTTTCTAGAGGTCACATATCCTCCAAATTCCAGG